CCCCCCCCCGGGGAGCCGTGCGGCACCTCCCCAGCCCAGCTCACCTCTGCTCCGCCTCCTCCCTGAGCACGCCGCCCCCGCTCTAATTCTCCTCCCCTCCCAGGCTTGCGGCGCCAAACAGCTGATTGGCGTTGCAAGCCTGGGAGGCGGGAGAAGTGGAGCAGCGACCGTGCGCTCGGGGAGGAATGCTGTAAAAAAAAAAAAAAAAAAAAAATTGGGGGCACTGATTTTTGGCGCCCCCAAATCTTGCCGCCCTAGGCCACCGCCTAGTTCACCTTAATGGTAGCAACGGCCCTGCCTCCATGTAATGAAAAGAATTATTACTAAAGAAAGGTTTCTAGATAGGAGGTGGATAATCTGGTGGATAAGTGGGTTGCATTTTGGTTGTTTGTGATCAAATATCAAGTATTATTGAGGTAAAAGACCTGCCAAAGCAAACCTTTCCATCTAGCTACCTCTGCAGTTCCTGTGTTTTGTGTCCCAAGATTTTTTTTTTTAGACAAGTGTCTTCTTTATATATTTGGATGTTTCCCAGGGATTTTCAGAAGCCTCCTAACTCTAGACAATAGAAATGAGTGAAAGCCACATCTAGATCATCAAAATTCCCAGGAAGAGTCTGGCTAAAGGTGACGTGCTGAGCACCAGGAAAAAACAAAACCCCAAGAAAGTGCTTCAAGGAACCATATGAAAACTGACTAGCAGATTGTCTCTACTGTGCACCATGGCATGAAAAAAAGAAAAAAAAATTGAAGATGCTGAGAAAAGAACTTGCAAACGATGTGTTTGATTATAGAGTGGACTGTTCTCTTTTCTGCTAGATTCCCACCTTTCAACTCTAGCCTAAGTTAAATAACTTGGATGTGATGTATTTTGCCAATAAGCAGCATAACACACAAGTGTTTATACTGTAACTAAAAAACAAGGTCAGTAGCACTATGATTGTTTTTGGCTTTGGAAATCTCTGAAGTCCGTTCACCAAAACATGACATTTTAAAAAAGGCAGAGGATTAATCTTCATCCACAACATATATAGTGCTTTAAACCAATCTCAAATTACTTCCCCCCTCCTTTCCTCCTCTCACC